AGCTATGCAGTTGAAGTTGCTCGTAGAATTGTCGGATAAACTCTTCAGCCTCCCAGTCCACTGCTTCATCGATATCTTCATCCTCCTTCACCGGAAACGGCGAGTCCGTAACCCTAAGTGGCCTCACAGAAGCCGCTGGCGTAGCTAGCACCGACATCATCGGCGTCGGCATCTCGTCTACAGCTTCTCCGTTATCTGGAACTGAATCAAGAATCTCAAAGGCTCGAGCGACAGGCTGCAGCATCGTATCGACTAAAGCGGCGACGGCGGCGGCGGCGGCGACTGAGATGATGTGTTCTCCGGCGGGTAGTAGCGCAGAATGGCGTGTTGCTGCAGCTGAACTCAACCTCGCGAAGTGGGATGATGACGGCATCAGGGTCCATGAAGCGGCATGAAAAGGTTTCGAGGGCGTTCGGGTGGATTGAGGAGTGGTAGTGATTGGAGCGGTGGGATCTGCCGGCGAGTTTCTTTTGGTGAAAGCGAAAGTTGTGTCTGAGGTCGGAGAATATGCGGCGCTTGGAGAGGCCTTCGCTGAACATCACGAAGACGGCACGCACGGTGTTCCAAAGGCGCTTGGCTGTCTCCGTGGGCGAGGTGGTGCTGGATTCCATTTTCTCGCTTTCTCCTTAAATATTTCAGAGCTTTCTTTCACTCAAGGAAATAGAGGGCGCAATTATGAGAGAAATGAAAGAAAGGCGGGTATTTAATAGAGGGGCGAGATTTGAAGGTAACTTAGTTTTCAAGATTTGTGAAGCCATATTTCTACTAAAAATAATTAGTTAATCAATTCTATTATTTATTTGAAAATGACAAATGCCCTAAAAATAAGAGAGCATTAAATAACACAATCGTTTACGAGTGATAAATATTGTCAATAATTGTACTCTTAAGATTTTTGTATCGCTTTTCTCTATAAATGGGGTATATTTAGTGGCTTTCCCGTCCATTTCCTAAATTTTGGCCCTTCTGCCGTTTGTACTTGTGAAAGAAGATCTCAAGCACCAAGAGACTAGTGAGTGAAGAAAAGCTGACGAGGGCTCTTGGACTCCCTGCTTCGAAGGCTCACCCTTATGGGGATGAGAGGAAGATAAAACCTGAAAGCTTTCATTGAGTCTTAAAGAAGAGAGCTAGTGAAGAAGACTGGCAGACTAAGAAAAAGTTGGGAGATGAGAGGAAGACAGTTGACACCAAAATTTGATCGAAGGGAACAGGCGTGAGGGATCTAAATAAAATAAACAGCTTACGGTGAAGAAACCGATCGTGGAAGTTTTGAGAGAGTAATAAAACTCATTGCCGATGTTGGAGGTTAGTACTCGGAAAGGAGGGGGTAATTCACCTAACTCAACTATTGTCTCAATGACTGGGGTAAATAATGGTGGTTGCGCAAGTTTCACTGTCGAAGTTCATTTTAATTCAAATTCCGATCAGAGAGGTTGCTCAGGGCGACGCTCCTTATCCAACTATGGATCCGGTCTAACTGGAGTTCATCCAAGGTGAAGCCTCATCAATGGAAGGCACCCTTCTCCGGCCTTTGATCGAAGAGGGTGTCGAGCGGGTGATGCATTTACACCCGTTGCTGAAAGTTTTCGTATGTCAGAGTTAGTGTAAATGATTGGTAAACTAAGCTTTTCCTTACTAGATCCTTTAATGTATTCTTATAACACAAACTATAATGTTTTAGAGTGAATTGTGGAGATCTTTGACTTCCAGCCAACATGGGCCAAGAATCCTCTCGAGCCAAAGGAGCCTGCTGACCCTTCTATCCATGTCGTGCTTGAAGTGGTGTCCATCCTACTGACTCAACCCGCACTTACGTGTACTTTTAATCTCCTTAATATTGCCAGAAAATATATCACAAATTATATCTAGCGGCTAGTGTGAACAAATATAATAATTTATAATAGATTTTCACACTAGGGGTGCTACACAAGTATAAGTATTGTTTCATGTAATATAAAATTTTCTTTAAAAATCCTAGTATCAATCCTACAAGAAATGTGATAACTCATAAAATTAACTTACAAAAATTCTATTTAAATTGCAAATTAAAAAGATAAGAGATTTAAAATGATATGCTCGTTATTACTACTAAAAGAGTTAAAAAGAAAGTAACAACTAAATGTAAAAGCTTAACAAAATATAACAACGAGTTTGGATATTATGAAAAACCTTTCTCCTTGCAAAGAGATATTAATCTATGTATAATTCAAATGATTTAAGACAAAATTGAGATATTGTGAGAAATAGAAGCATACCTTATTCCTTACCCCTCCGGTGCTTGCAAAGAACATTAGCTAACTTAAGAATTATTCATTAACATCTCGATTCCACATCAGTGCTATCTAGCCTCTCACCTCTAGATGCCCCTAGTCCATGCCACCGTAAAGACTGAATCCCAGTGTCAGGGTACTAAACCTTAAGCCAAACTGATAAGACTCTAGCTTGTCACTCTATATCTAACCAATTCTACACCCATCAAAACTTATCTCCCTATTTATTTGCACTCCCCCTTAGGTGATCGCAATATCTCTATCTAGAATGAAGTGTAGTATCCACTAGTGGGAAATCATAGCCCTTGCAGGTCATTATGTTTCTCAATGGATTTTAGCATCATAAGTGGACAATTTGCGAAGTAAATAAAGATTCAATGAAAACACGATCAGAATTTTTAAGAGTAAAAAGAAATATTTAAATCATTCTCATCCCACAAGATTAAGTAATTTTAAATCATTCTCATCCCACAAGATTAAGTCTCATATGCAAGAGAAAGAAAGGGAACTACTCAGAATTCATGGAGATTAAACAAAAACAAAACATTCTCAATGAAATCCAAGTCTTACAACAAAAACTTAAACAGAAATACAAAGCACATTATGTCTTCACCCCAAGTAAACTTCTAGAGTTTCCTTAAGCAATCTCCAAACTTCTTCACACTAAAATACACTCACACTTATAGTTGAACACAAAACATAAAAAAGCTAACTTACTATTGCCGCTCAATTGATGTTTTGAGGCTCAAAAAGGTCTCTAAATTCGCCAAATCCTTCTCATTAATTAGAAAGCAGAAAATAACCAAGGGTTGCTTCAAACACCCCTCCAAAATTCGGTCAAATTCGATCTATCTTCTAGAACAGTAGCTACTGGCGCTATAGCGTCCTTCTCGCTCAACTGTGGTGCTATGGCCATTTTTTCCTCATTTTCTCTAAATGTCCATTCCATATACGTGAAACAAAAAACATAAAAAATAACTTTGTTTAAAGTGCAATATCATTAAAACTCTACATAAAAGGCTTATAAAATATGAACTATAAACAAGTTATTTTTTGGCGTATTACCCACCACCTTTAATGGCTCCACCTCCTTCAGTCGACTTGGAGAGGAAACACATGGTCAATGGAGGGTCTCATGGGTTGCTTGTACGATGTCGCCGTCGGAATGTGTCACCGCCGCCACCAATTCCCGTCTCCATGTCATTGGTTTGTCATCATTGTATAAAGAAGTCGCCACTCTATTTATCTATTTTATTATCTTATTCTCTAAATGATTTATTCTCTCATATCATACAAATGATCTTGAAATATTTAAGAAACTTAGAGAAGAAGAAAAAACGCAAATAAAAATAGAAAGCTGAAGAAAATGTCATAAAGATTTCCTTGTATAGATTTTGAAAGTTTCTAATTCTCGAAATTTTATCTAACCACATGAAAATTCCATAACCAGAGAGCCTAAGTTTCTCAATCTCCTATACGAGTAAGCTCCTATAGTTAATTACATCTTAAGTAGTTGAAATTACTTAAGAAAAATCCTGGTTGACGCAAACATTTGTTCTCAAAGAAGTTTTAAGTGTCAAGATCAAGGAAAGAAACGTCAATGTTTGATCCTAAGGGTAATAGATTTCTATAAATCTAACACTACCTTAAAGGTTTTGTTTTGTCATTTTCTTTTGTTTTTTTTTTCTTTTTGTTTATGTTGTTTTGTTTTGTTGTTTTTTTCCTTACCTATGTTGTTTTGTTTTGTTTATATTTTTTTTGTTTTGTTGTTTAGTTATGTTTATTTGATAAGCCTAAAAATTAATATATATATTTATTTATTTAAAGAGCATTATACGTCTCACTACGCGTTAATCTTTAATAAAATTGATACATTTTTTTGTTGGAAGACGGTTCCCAACTAAAAATCAAAAGAAATACAATGACACTCAATAATAAGGATCATCAACCACATACAACTCCACCTAAAAATAAAAAAAGAAAGTGTACCTTGTACCCAATTTATGACCGAGCTTATACAAGTATACCCAAATAAAAAAAATAACTCCCAAATTAACTAAGAGAATTAAAGTGTTTCGTCAAATGACATGGGATGGACCATTTCGGAGTTCCACGCAGAGCGGTTTTCGACAATGGGACAGTCTTCAAAAGTACAAATATCAATAGCTTCGTCAAATGACATGGGATAGACCGGAGATACTCTACAATCTACTATCCCAGGGCAAACGAACTAGCTGAGGCCTTCAACAAAATGCTTGTGCAGATTTTAAAGAAAAATTAGACAAAAATAAAAGAGATTGGCATAATAGATTATTAGAAGCTTTGTGGGCCTACGGGACGATGTTCAGAAATCCTACTCAATGTACACCTTACGTGCTCATATACGAATCAGAGGTCGTATTGCCGCTGGAAGTCCAGACACCGTCTCTTAGAGTCATCGTCGCCAACCAAATTACAACCAAGGAAACTGCAAAGCTCATAATTGAAGAATTAGAAAGTTTCAAGGGAAAACGACTAGAAGCACAACAGAATTTGAAACTTTACCAAGAGAAAATGGTACAAGCACATGACAAATTAGTCCTCCCGAGGACGTTCAAAGTGGGTGACCTCGTTCTTGTTCTCAAAAGATATATTCTTGCACGTCGCAAGATAGGTGAAAAATTTGAACCAAGTTAAGAGGGATCATTTGTGGTAGAGAAGGTCTATTCAGGAGGAGCCTACCAGCAAGTGAATTTTCAAGGTGAAAGACCTATGTTGTCGATCAATGAACGATATTTGAAGACCTATTATAAAACTTGGCATTGCTTGAAATGAGATTTTGAGATTTTTATTGTTATGAGATTATTTATTTAGCCAAGCGTCCACGAATGGGTCCAAAATTTTGTAATAAATCAACCACAATAAAATGAAAGCTTTTGAAGTGGCATACTTTCATGTTCTCCTTTCTGCTGTTAAGTTTGATATTCTACTAAACTATATATATATATGTAAGGAGCAGAGCTCCATTTCACTAAAGAAACCAAAACAAAATACAAAGAGGAAGAAAAGAAAACGGTGATAGGAGAGGGCCTTTATAAAGGAAGGCATCCTCTCAAGCCCACTACAGGTGTTGTCTGGTATAAGGGAGAGGAAATAGGTCACTGGATAAAAGAAAGTCCAGTGAGGGGGGAATCCTTATGCTCACTAAAGGTTCTTC